TATGTCCGAGAAGACGGCTCTGAGACGTTCTTTGAATGTCAGCAACTGATCCTGATTCACGTACCAGACCCAGAATTGCGGTGCTGGGATGCCTTTGGCCCGAACCATCGCAGGAACGTTTCGGCCATGCGTCCCGAAATCGGCAAACCCATTGATTTACCTTTCACCGGCCCGTAGAATGTTCCGCCAAACGTGAAGAACGTCCTCAGACAGATGGATTTGGGCGTGCGAAAGGCAATTTTCCATTTCATTGCATTTGCATTGCAAGTCTAGTTCGATGATCTCAACTGTCAGGTCCTGCGGAATGGAAGTAAAAGAAGGCGGGACATCAAAGGATACCATGAAGTAACTTTAAATTTCTAGAAGAACTGTGTTGACGAACAGACCTTGGAGTGCCTTTGAACGATACGATGGGCCTGAGAGGGACGCCTTCTTTGTGCATTTTAGGGAGGCCATAGAATCGGGGCGAGGTTGTGTCCTGCGCTTTTCCCACGCGTCTGTTGGTCGGCGTTATTGAACCCCGGTTCTCCAGTGCCAAGAACGTAGCAGTAATTTCGTGTGTCAGCGTTTGTACGGAGTTGGTTGCACATGGTACATAGAACTGTAGATCCTCCAGTAAACCTTTGGTTTTTGAAGGTAGTCTGTCCTATCTGACACGACCATGGAACGCCCCTTGTCCATAGGTACGATAACGAGGCCTTTCTCGGCCTTAAGTTCCCTAATGCACCAGATTTGACCTTGGAAAGCACTTCACACTGTCTGCGAAGCATGAAGATAGACAATGTGTAGTGTCGAAGCAGGAATCCGAAACTTCAGTGTCAATGAGTCGTAATGCTGCTCCTGGCAAGAAAGACATATAACCACTCCCCCCTGCCTGATTGCCACTTCTGACCATCGACCACGGATATGATACTTTCGACATTTTCTTCACTACATTCTTTGGTAATAGGACATGTCTGCCAGCCCTCAGACGCTGATTGTTGACATGCTAGGCTGCCCTGAATGTCACGGCAAAAAGCCACAAACACCACGCCTGACTGCATAGACTTGCGGGGGCGAGAGAGTGCCATCGCATTGCCACGACGGAAGGTTCGAACTTTGCAATGGAAACTCCCTGTGACCCACAAACAGCTGTCGATCACACACGACAGTTCGACCGTCGATTTCGACGATGTCCACCGTGTGCCCCACAGACTGCATTGTGGGAGCAGGGACGGTGACTTGCACAGGGGTTTGTAGTGCCGGTCGACTTGCGTAGCATCTACATACACTCTCTCCTCCTCCCCCGCCTGGGCCCTGTGTCAAGACAGAGTCAAGAAGACCGGAGACGAGGGAGGCCGCAGGTGGATGGCTCGGACGGATCCTCACCTTGGCGCTCCACCACACCCCCTGGTCCACACAACAATAACCAGGATTTCAACCAACACAACAGACATTTGGAGGCTGGCACGACCGAAGCCGCACCTGGGCGTGCCGCCAACGCCTGGCTCGGATCCCACACTGTGGTAGGAGTGCCATAAAGGCCACATTAAAAAGGAGCCATTGCAGCCTGACTCTCAGACCGCCTCCCGTTAAGGAGGAGGTCCAAGGTACCCCGTCAGTTGGCAACCTTCCAAGCCACGGCTTTTAGCGCACCGTGATAGCTTCAAGCGCGTCAGATTGATTATAGTGAGGAGGAAGTGCGCTGAGTCGTCGACCTCACTCTCCCTTCGCATTCCCACACCCCAGCAGCCGTCCGAGCCGGTCGGCAAACTGGAGTGGGGAATGGGCGCGGTGGCTGACACGGTCGACTGACCGTGCCTGCGCGCGCCACAGCACGACCTGGCCCCCATACACACAAACACCAGGATTTCACACAACGAGGGTTGAAAGGCGTGACTCTCACTTGCGTGAGAGGGTCGTGAAAGGTGCTGCTTCAGCCCGTCCCCAGCCCACCAGTCCGCCACTCCACACAACACACACACACAACGCGACGAACTGCGTGAACCGAGAGCAGGCCTCAATCAGCAACCTTCCTATCTACGACACTTGACGTGTCGGGATAGTCTCGGACACAAGTCGCCCGTGCAGCCGAAGCCGCATGGGGACCGAGTCGAGATGCGCACTTCCCACTTGCGTGGGAGGCGGCAGTTGAGTGCATGAGGTGTGTGAGTGTTGATGTGTGTTGTTGATGATGGAGGAGGGTAGGGAGTGTGTGAATGTGTGGTGTAACCGGCGGTTGTCTACCGCAGGTCGTCGTGGATGCGCATGTGACCGAATAGGCCCATACGATGCCTGAAGGTGCGAGGACAGTGTGGGCAGTTGAGTCGAGCTTGGTGAGTGTAGGTTGGTGCTCCAGGCACTGGTTCTCCAGTCTCTGTGCGATGGATTCGCAAGTGACAGACCAGGCCGATGCGTGAAGTGAAGGTGCGATCGCAGTGAGGGCAGATGTAGTCCTGGCCCTCACGTCTGATGATGGAGGTTGCAGGCGTTGTGCCTGTTGTTGTGTCAGGTGCGGCTGAGGTGAAGTCGTGGGCGACAGACGCCGAAGCGGCCGTCGTTGTGGCAGTGAAGGAGGAAGAGAAGGAGGAGGAAGGGGAGGAGTGAGGGGTGGTAAGGTCGGTGGCGTCGATGTCGGCTGGGGAGTGGTTAGTGGGTGCACAAGGTGATGGATTGGGAGTGGGGCTCGGCGGGGTGGGTGTGTCAAGGCTGCGGTCATTTCCGCTCTCGTGGACGCGCATGTGGCCGAATAGACCCATGCGATGACTAAAGGTGCGAGGGCATTGTGGGCAATGGAGGCGAGTGCGGTGGGTGTAGGTTGGTGCTCCAGACACTGGTTCACCAGTCTCTGTGCGATGGATTCGCAAGTGACCGACCAGGCCAATGCGAGAGGTGAAGGTGCGGTCGCAGTGAGGGCAGGTGTAGTCCTGATCCTCATCAGTGGGATCGGGAGAGGTGGGGGTGGTGGCGGTTGTTGTGTCGGGGTTGGTGATGTGTGAGACGGCAGCCTGAACGGCCGCCGCTGGGGCAGTGGAGGAGAAGGAGGAGGATGGAAGTGGTGGTTCAGAAGAATTGTCAGAGTAAGTTCGCAGCGGAGAGGACGAGGAAGATGTGGGCGGAGGGACGATGGTTGGTGCAGTCCGAGAGGCGCAGTTGATCCAAAGATGTCCGACAAGTCCGATTCGAGCCCGGAATGTCCGTTGACACCGAGGACACGTAGGTAGCGGTTGTGCGGCGGCGTTGCAGACTGGGCGAGATTATGATTTGCGGGCTTCGCGCTTCGCTTTGGCGGCGGCGATGCGGTTGGCTTCGTAGATCGCAGCGCCTGTCTTCACTGCTCTCCTCCAGGTCGGCCGATCGTGTGCGAGCTCTTCCCAGTTGGTCGGGTTGATTTGCAGGCGCTTCAGGGAGGACTTCAGGGTATCCTTGTATCGACGAATTGGGTCTCCTTGACGACGAGAACCCGTCGCGACGTCTCCGTAGAAGAGTCGGTTGGGTAGTCGCTCGTCGTCCATGCGCACCAGGTGGCCGCTCCAGCGCAGCTGCATTTGTTTCAGTATGGCGTAGATGCTGAGGATTCCCGTTCGTTCCAGTACTTCCGTGTCGAAGATTCGATCATGCCAGTTCAGCCTCAGGATGCGACGGAGACAACTGAGGTGGAAGTGGTTCAGTCGGCGTGCCTGCTTCGTGTACACCGTCCATGTCTCTGCTCCGTACAGTAACGTCGGCAGGATGACGGTCTTGTACATCTTCAGCTTCGTGCTCAGTTGGAGACCGTGGCGATTCCAAACTGTGCTTCGGAGGCGTCCGAAGGCTTGACTGGCTTTCGAGATCCTATTGGCGACTTCGTCATCGATCTTGGTGTTGCGGGAGAGAGTACTGCCCAGATACGGGAAGTTCTCCACCACTTGCAGTTGGGTCCCATTCACGTTGATTTGCGGCGGCGCGTTGGGGGCTGTTGCTGAGTTGGGTGGCGGTTGATGCATCACCACCGTCTTCTGCGTGTTAATGACCAGACCGAAGTTCTCGCAGGCGGCGGAGAATAGGTCCATGCTCCGTTGCATCTCCTCTTCCGAGGTGGTGTTCAGGGCGCAGTCGTCGACGAAGAGGAGTTCGTGCACGGTGGTTGTCGATACGCGCGATTGGAAGTGCATCCGCCGTTGATTCAGCAGGTGACTGTCCGTCCTGGAGGCGATGAGGATCCCGGGGCGTTCGTCACGGTAGGCGTCCATCAGCATGGCAGAGAACATAAGACTGAAGAGGGTAGACGCCAGCACACAGCCCTGCTTCACGCCGTTGGTCACTGCGAATGCCTCTGAGACGGCTCCGTTGTCCGTGACTCGCGCCATCATACCGTCGTGCAGCTGACGCACCATCTGAGTGAATCGCTCCGGACAGCCAAATTTCTGCATGATCTTCCACAGTCCTTCACGATTCACCATGTCGAAGGCTTTCGTCAGGTCCACGAAAGTAGAGTATAGGTGGGTCCGCAACTCCTGACACTTCTCCTGAAGTTGACGGGCGGCGAAGATCATATCCGTGGTCCCACGATGATGACGGAAGCCTCATTGGCTCTCCGGCAGAAGGCCCTGTTCCAGATGGTTATTGAGGCGGTTGAGAAGGATGCGAGCGAAGATCTTCCCGGCGATGTTCAGCAAGGAGATGCCACGGTGATTGTCACGGATTTGGCGGTTCCCTTTAGGCTTGTATAGGTGCACGATTGTTGCGTCCTTGAAATTTTGCGGGACTTCGTCTTGACGCCACATCTCCTGGAAGAACGCAGTCAGGTGATCCATCAGTTGGGGACCTCCGTGCTTGTAGACCTCAACAGGGATTGCGTCCGATTCGGGTGCTTTCCCGCTAGAGAGCTGCTGCACGGCCCTGATGGTCTCCTGGAGAGATGGCGGGAGGTCGAGGTTCACGTTGGTCTCCACTTGCGGCAAACGCTCGATGGCGGCGTCGGAGATGACGGAAGGGCGGTTGAGGACGCCTCGGAAGTGCTCGGCCCATCGCTGTAGGATTTACGTCTTCTCAGTCAGGAGAGTGCTGCCGTCGGCGCTGAGGAGAGGAGCAGTGCCCTTCGTCGGCGGACCGTAGACAGCTTTGATCGCGGAGAAGAAGTTCTTCCATTCGTTGCGGTCCGCGTACCCTTGGATCTCCTCAGCTTTGCGAGCAGTCCAGGCGTCCTGCATCTCGCGCAGTCGTTGCTGAAGTTGGCGGCGACTGCGGTAGAAGGCCGCTTTGTTGTCCTCGGTGGGGTGATCTACGTAGGCTTTGTGTAGGCGGTTCTTCTCAGCAAGTAGATTTCTGATTGCGGCGTCGTTGTCATCAAACCAGTCCTGGTGTTGGCGGGGAGCGCGACCGAGGACGGCGAGTGCCGTTGACTGGACCGTGTCTCGCAGTTGACACCAGCGGTTCTCCACGGAGGCGTTCTCGGCAGCGGCGGCGGCAGCGATTGGAAGGTTGTCTAGCCTTTGAGCTAGCTCATTGCTGAAATGAAGATGATGAGCGGGCAAAGACAACAAGGCAACATTCAGCTTACCTGGGGGTCGCTTACCTTGTGGTCTCCTGCGAGGCTGTAGGCGAACACGCATCTTCGAGATGACGAGGCGATGGTCGGTCCACCCGTCAGCACCCGCGATCGCCTTCGTCACCAGCACGTCCCGCTGATCTCGCCTCCGGACGAGGACATAGTCCAGCAGGTGCCACTGACGCGACCGAGGATGCCTCCAGGTGGCCTTCTCTCGCTCCGGCAGACAGAAGAAGGTGTTCGTCAGGATGAGGCGGTGTTCTGCGCAGGTGCGGAGGAGAAGCAGACCATTGGCGTTCGAGCCGCGGAGACCGTGGGGACCCAGCACTCCTCTCCAGGCAGTATGGTCTGTGCCGACGCGGGCGTTGAAGTCACCAAGGACAATCAACTTGTCCGCCTTCGGCACAGTCGCCAAGAGGGCGTGCAGGTCCTCGTAGAATTTGTCCCTTGCAGCGGCGTCGGGGCTGGTCATCGGCGGAGCGTAGACGCTGATGATGGTGGCGAATTTGCCCCCACCCCGGCGCAGAGGCAGACGGAGGCTCATCAGGCGATCGTTGATGCCCTGCGGCAGACAGGGCAGTCGTCCCACGATGTCGTTCCGGATGGCGAAGGCGACACCCGCGTCTCGTCGCTCTGTCCTGGGTCGACCACTCCAGTAGAAGGTGTAACCGGCACCCACCTCCTCCAGTTGGCCTTGTTCGGAGAATCGGGTCTCGCTGAGTGCGGCGATGTCCACCTTGTAGCGCGCCAGTTCTCGTGCCACTAGAGCCGTCCTCCGTTCCGGTCGGTTGCTCCTCGGATTGTCTAAAAGGGAACGAACATTCCAGGCTGCCAGAGTGAGCGGACTCACCCTGCCAGTCTGGTGACAACGAGTGGGGCGACGGGAAGGAGGTGGAGAAGAAGGTGACGCAGGAGAAGAATAGGCAGAGGAAGATGTAGAAGAGGTAGGATGAGGAGAATGAGTATGGTTATTGTGGCTACCACCAGGACAAACAAAGTGCGCAGCCGTTCAGGCCGTCACGTCGCTCAGTCTGATTGGGCCAGTCAAGACAACGCACCAAAGCTGAATGTTACAGCACGTGACCTATCTCATGAAATCTGATAACGGAAACTGATGCAAGAATTTCTGGACGCCTTTTACTTTGAGCACGTTTTTTGCTCATGCACATCCTTCAATGAAATGTCCTTTTCTTGTGCAGAAATTGTATTTACGTTTTTATATGAAGTAAAATACCAGCAAATTTGAGCGAAAATGGACGTTGGAATATATTCGTGCAATTTACTATGCTAATACATGTCCTAGACTCCGGTTACACATCTGAGCGACTTTTTCATGAAAAGGATAGTAATTTACCCGCTAGAGCTTTAATAAACAGATTTAACTGACCTTGAAAATTTATTTTATGTCCGATGTTAACCATGGTGACCAACCTGCTAACAGAAAGGTTATTTTAGGAAAACCATAGGTTTTATCGATTCCCAAATGTCAACTTAGCAGATCTGTGCGATTTGGTGCCCTAAAGTACAATAATAACGCAGATAGGGATTTATTCGTTTTAGTTGGCTGAAATTGTTTTCCCGTTTGGAAAATTCTACCTGATGTCACATAACTGACCACCACCGAATGGTCATTTCCAGTTTTGAATATATGAAACACTACTTTTCGTGTAGTTTATTTTCTATGCATACCTTATTCAGGAATAGAACGAGCAAAACACTAATAGTTTCAGCAAAATATCAGTATTCATATGGGCGCTCTGCCGTGCATTCATACTCGAAGAACGGAGTCTAAAAGCGAGCAAAAACAGTGGAAATGGCCTCAATATATAAAATAAGACATGTTCTTGCGTTCACGGTGGAAAAATAGCAGTATTTCTCAGGAACGCGAAAGAAACGGCCAAAAGCGTCAAATTTTTACACAGCCTTACCGTGCAAAAATGCTAAGTACACAGAGATCCGTCAAAGGAGTGCAGTAATAAAGCCCTTCTTGAAGAGGTAACTTCTTAAGGAAAGTTTTCTTATCGATCGGAGGCATATTCGTTGCTGAATTTCGTTGTGGACAGACATTTTTCTCGAAAATGAAGTTTGATGTTCGAATGAGTCTTCACATGTGGCCCAAACGACCTTCTTCGTGAAAAGGAGCGCCCGAACACTCACTAATTCGGTAAATGCCTTCAAGAATAATCTTATTTTAAAGTTTTCAACAGACAGGTAATTCAGAATCTGTCTTTATGAAAGATCGGGTGAAAACACTGAAAATCATGAAGTACTCAGCAATATTTCGAGGCCGATCTGAAACTCAACGTAATCGAAAACGAATGGGAAGTGTAAATTAATTTAACGGAGGAAGAGTTCTCTGTATAACACGAAATGGTATGTTTGCGATCACGCCTGTCAGTTCTATTTAAATTTATTAGGCACCGACCGGTCTCATGGCATGTCACCTTATGAAAACTTTTGATCCTACGACGTCCCCATCGGCGAAATCAAGCAAAATCCAGCTTCTCTTGTTGAACCCCATCTCATTCACTTCAAGAAAATAAAAAAAAACACGAATCACCGAAAAAGTGTTTTGGAATCTACACTCAGAATGTAGGCAGTTGACAAAACGTCATATATGAAATCACGCTACTCATTAAACGTTATTTAGATGAACCTTCACTAAAGCACTATCATTAGACATTATTTTATGTTTACTTTCATATTTACTACGTTTTTGGTACGAGAATACATTCTATACATAAAAAACGAAGTTTACTAAATAAGAGCCATTTCTGACGTTTTCGGGATATTGCGCTTTTCAAAATAAATCGGCATTTCTAAACAACGCAACACTGCCTCTACTATTTCTTTTATGTTTTTAATTCTTTTAAACTTGTACTTAATTAACATAGCTATTGGACTCATGAAATAGTGTCGGTTTGCGAGCGATTGGCAATCATTCGTAAATTCCGACACATTTCACGAGTTAGGTCACTAACTGTACATCGATTGCCGCTTCACCGAAACGCCAAGATTTACGCGATGAGGGACCTGGGGTGCGCCTTCTGTGACTGATACGCCCTCAGGGCTAGAGCTCACTCCTGTCAACTACGATCTGTGTTTTGTACTGTGTCGCCCGCCTAAGTACCGTGATACTGTGAAAAGATCCAACAACTTCTCGGAGAGACTAAAATAGACCCAAAAATCTGCACATCGTGGGCCACTTGGCAGGTAATTTGATGTTTATGAGGACTCTCGATCGACAGTACTCAAAATCACGCGAGAACGGTCTGGAACTCAGTCTGACTCAGTCTTGGTAATCAATTTTCGCGCTGTTTAAAATGTTCGTTCGGGTTACTTCTGCTCAAATCTGCAGTGAACTAAGGAAAGAGGGGGTAGGATGACGTTAACCAAAACATTCTACCCCATCTGAGCGGTTTTATGCCAAAAAAATTTACGCCAACTTGATACGTCAACTTTTTTGAGGAAATTAAAAAGCTTAACTGGAAACAGTGGGTTGTGTAACCCCACTTCGCAACCAGTACCTTCGCGGTCGTGTTCTACGGAAACGGTGGTTATATGGTTTTTACTGGTGGGGCATCATTGAGAAAGGGGGGGGGAGGGAAATGCATGCAAGAGAACTTAGAAAATAGGTAGATTTCTGTTGAAATTCTTCTTTAACGCCTACATATGGCGTTGGGAGTGGGCCCGTTAATAAAAAAAACAAACAAGAGGCAACTCTCGATAAATAAACTCCAATTGAATAACCCGCCACCTGCAAATTTGCGACAGCCCCAGAACCAATGCAGCGGACGGCCAATAGGAAAGAAGGACGTTAAATGCCAAATATTGCAACTAGGAAAATTTTTTGACTACTGCAAATTTAGGGAAAAAAATATTTATATTCAAAGGTTATGTGAAATAATGATATGCATTTTTGAACAGAGTAGGTAATAATGGTTGTTTATTTCCTTCTGAAATACAGATAATCGTCTCCAGGCAGTGGAAAATTTAGAAAACCGCAGCATAATTTACTGACCAAGGCGGAGGAAATAGTAGAAGCTATAAACTCGAAGCAGGTCGTAGAATACTGGTAAGTAAAGGGAGTGATATCTAATGTGGCAAATACGCCAGCAAGTATTGAGGTTGCACACCGGCAAATACATATTGCGGTGCGACCGATGTCGAAGGAGGAAAGCTCTAGGGGTTTCGGTGTCGCATCGGCAATATGGGCTCTCATAGACGGGATTCAATATCGCCCATTGTTTGGCCTAAACAGCGTTTGCCTAAAGCCAGCATGGGGAATATCCCCGTCGCATATTGCGGAAGCACAGCTGGTGCAATAGCTTCTTGAACAGGGAACAAAATGGGCTCCTTTCTGAACGCAATTTAACGACTATTTGTAAGTAAATTTTTGTGCCTCAGCTCAACTGGATTTAACTGTCTCATTATTGGTTAGGCGAGAGACTAAGCACAGGAACCCTAGGAGAAGGAGACAAGCCATGGCGCAAGCCTTTGGTAGCAGAGACCGTTCGCAGATATCGTAGAAGCTAAGCGCTTGTGCCGAGGCAAAGTAAACCAAAACGCAGCCGAATACGTATTGTATGGCGAGTTCTGACATGACACAAAAAGGTTAAGCTAGTCTTGTCGAGGAAGGAAATAAGTCACTGTGTAGACGTTTGACAACAGAAACCGTTTGGGGATGTCGAGGAGGCTGAGAGTTTGTGGACTAACAGAGGCAATCTTCTTTACAGCACGCGTTGTATGGTGAGTGCCGACATGACGCAATAAGGCATAGCTACCCCTTTTGAAGAAACGGATTACAGAGAGGGGGCAAAAACCGAAGGCCACATTATGCTAAGTAGTTTACCACTAGAAGATCACACTGAAACAACTCGGGGCGTGTGGTTTTCCTCCTCCTCCTCCTCTTCCTCCTCCTCCTCCTCCTCCTCCTC